AAAATATTGGAAATAGAAGTGAATTGGCAGACCACATAGGAAGTACTCTTAGAAGGCCATTCTTGGTTACTGGAGTTCTTCCTGACTCTCCTGTGCCACTGGTTTTCAAAATAAGTAACTGGTTAGGAAGGCTAGTGCTTCTGATTGGGAGCTAATCTCACCAACTCGGCTGGCTAGGCCATCTCCCCTGTCTCTCCTTTGGATATTTAAAAACATATCCTGTGGGATTCATTGTAGGAGAATTGCCAGCCTCATACTTGTTACAACGTTGACCTATTTCTTAATAGCCATTAATTTGCTTAGTTATACAAGGATAAGCACCTAATTCAGGCTTAATGAGGCCTCGGTCAGTACAAAGACACAGCCCTACTCAAAAACCGGTGAAGGTGAATCTAAAGTTGTATAAATGGTGTCGCTAGCCAAAAATATTTCCCCAATTCTTACCCTGCACTCTGAAGACCGAGAGCCACCCCTGACCCCAAGCAGTGTGGGTCAGATGTCAGACAGGCTTATAGGAAACCTGGCTAAAGCAGTAGCTGAATCCGGGTTCAGTGGCACACACCTGTAATCCCAGCCACTTGGGAGGCTGAGGCAGGAGGATCCCAAGTTCAAAACCAGCCTGGGCAACTTAGGGAGATCCTGTCTCAAAGTAAGAATTAAAAAGGGCTGGGGATGTAGCTCAGCAGTAGAGCACTTGCTTAGCATTTGCAAGGCCCTGGGTTCCATCCCCAGCACTAAAAGAAAAAAAATAAATAAAGCAGTAGCTAGTGAAGCCAACACCAGCACTTTCCCTGAATTTGACTTGAAATTTTTTATTCTTATTATGTTTGGACCTTCAGAAGATTCATTCAGCCAAGCTGACTTGTGACACGAAATAACTAGTTAACCATACCTACTAATCACATAAATATGGTTTATGGGATGATGTAAAATGGTTTATGAAATCATTTTTGAAACCATCTTTTCAACAGTAATTACACCAGTTCTGTAATACCTTAAAGCCAGTGATGTTGGCAAGAATTAGCCTAAGCATCTTTAATATTCTGATGATCATCATGCAAAATTGCCACTGCAGTAAAATGACAGGGTTGTGCTTAATTTCTCTTCTTCCAGCGCATTTCCCTTCTATTTTTCCCCTTTTACATTAAAACATACTTCATAGCATTTCATCATGGGAGAAGGCTGCGTAAGTTTCCAGTTGCTGTAATTTAGTTAAACCATAAAATTGTTTCCAGATTACCAACCATGAAATGGAAAGACAATCTTATTTATGAATTTATAAATCAGATAATCTCCCTCAAATGAATCCTGAAACCAGAAACACTTTGATGATTAACTAAGAGGGGGAAACTTTTCTCATTACCATGTGTCAAAAGAATTGTATTTTCGTAGGGTGGTTTTGGCTGAGACGCTGCCGTGCGTTGCCGGCCGCGCTGTCCTCAGACCCTGCTGTTTTCTGGGCAAAGGGAGAGACGCGCTCCCCATCTGCTGCCTGGCCCAAGCATCTGAACCCTCTGAGGAGGACATCAGTCATCTGACTCCATGTCTCTGTTACATTATTATGTCCTTTCTGGTGGCCCTGCAGGGGACACTGCCTGGAAGAGGCCACCAAGGGAGTGTTCATGCACTAACTCTCAGTACTAGAAGGAGCACAGAGCACCTGGATGCCCACTGAATACAGGGCTTTGGTTCCTGAGCAGCTCATCTCAGGAAGTTCTACAACTATGTCCTGAAAGATCAGGGAATGAGATGTGATTGGGGAATTGTCTCTTTCCATGTCCTAAAACCTTTATCTGGGGGAAGCCCAGGGGAGAATCCAGGTACCTACAGAGCTGGGGAAAAACACCTGTTCCCCCTGCAGACTCCTGGGTGAAGATGACTTGGGCTGTGCGGTGACCTTCTAGATTTCTGACCATCATGATAAACCAGTTGAAGATCAATGTTCTTTATCCAGAATCATTCTGGTGCTATGTTTGGGGGCATTTGTTTTGTTTTGTTTTGTTTGTTCACTTGTTTTGTTATTTTTCTTTTTTTCCTGCTCTCCTCTCTTGGGTAAGGTAATGAAAGCCGTTGATCAGAGAGGGACTAGAAGGAACCCCTCAGAGCTCTAGTGGTGTAATCGGTCAGTGCAGAGTACTTTCAAGTACACTGGTTTAAACCTAGTCAGCATTGTGCCCAGGAACAGCGTTGGAATTCCAGCATTCCCTTCTACCACTTCCCTCTTAGCAGATTCTTCTTTATCCTATACAGTTGTAGACTTACTTTTTTTTTTTTTGCATTTCTTAATATTGCTGTCTTCTTTGCATAATTGGGCTGTCACCGTGCCTCACTCACACCCCAGTTGTACAGAACCCTTAAGCCACTTCTTAACCACAGCCATTTAGAGTCTAAAAATGCCATGCCACTTAAAAAACAGAAAAGCTATATTCTTTGCATTTGCCTGAGATTAAATAAGATTACTAAACCTGTAGTTCTGAAGGGAGCTCCTGTCTTAGGGTCATAAGTTTGGCTTCAAGCACTGCCAGGGACAGAGCCAGCCTCTGTGGGACAATTAATGACAATGGAAGACATTCACCTGGTACTGAGCACTTCTCCAAGAAAGTCATTAATTTCCCAAGAGTTTGTGAGTCTGTATCTCCAGCACGATCACCATCACCCCATGGTTTCTGAGACGTCCCACTGTGTGATTTGGTTTGATAAACTTGGGATTTTCATTGGGTTTTTACTAACCTGCTTTCCTTATTTGGATTTCTTACTAATCTTTCTCTTTTGACACATTAACCACTTTATGGAAAAGAAGTGTATCTGAAAATGCTCTACAGCTCATGGGGTTTAGCACCCACAGGTGCACCTGGAGACATTTGCTAAGTCACTCCATAGAGATGTGTGTCCACATTCACCATTGGAGATTTCTTTCTGCTCCATTAGAACAGAGAAATAATACTATCAATACTTTTTTTTTTTCTTTTTGGGTTCTACAGCCATTAACTATCCTTACTGCCTAACTTATGTCCGAAAAATTCAGTGTTGTGACAAACCGACCATTTTAAACTAAAGAAAATATATGGACTTCTGAAGTCAGAGGCTTGTAACTGTGTAACTGAAATTTCACCAGGCATGATAGGTCACATTCCAAGGCACAACTCATCACCGCTGTGCTTGAAAATGCTCAATTGCCATAAAATTCAGGATATGCATATATCATCTCTCAATGAGCTCAACTTCATGAAAGAATAGATCACTATTACTTGTTCCACTGAGCACCAGATAAAGTCATTGGACTCTATTTGAGAGTCATCGTGTGTGCATATGCTGTTTGTAGCATAGGAATCACTGTCGTTCACATTAGAGAGCCATGAACTGAGACCCACAGTGGCCACTTATCCCAAGCTCACATAGGACACCTGCTCATGGGGAATGCTGGGGAAATACCCGTACTATTTAAGCCATTCTCCCCTCTCTTCCTGTTTTAACTACTAGGTATGCATAAGTGAATTCACAGGAGGTGACATTTGACATTCTCCTCATGTAGTCAGTTGTTTTTATAATGTGTCAAAAATAATGGTAACGGTTCTGTGAAACATCCGAGGTCCGGAAATGTGAACCTGTTTGAAATGTCTGACATGACTCTTGTGAACCTTGAAGACAGAGAGGTACGGTATCTGCCCTGAGTCAATAACAAAGGGAGTTTTTTATCGACGCCTTGAGTTATCAAGTTGTTAGGGATGGATGTTCATTTTCCTGCCTGATCCTATAAAAGCCTCTAGGCTAAAATTTCTACAACATCAAATTGAGCATCCTCTATTCCCAAACATACACTGATTTCAACCATATTTTCCATGGTCTTAATAAGAGACATTTGCTTGTGTTGCCCTTGGGCTATAAAAGAAGTGTAAATACACACACAGCCAAACATCTCCTTCATTCACACAAAACCATCCTGCAGCCTCCCAGCAGAGAAGAACAGATTACAACTGTGTGTGCCTGTGCAGTACCTGGCCTAGGGTCTCCCTGGTCCAGAGAGGAGCCGTTTTGTGTAAGGTCAAATAATGAAGCAGGGCAGAAAGACTCAAAAACACATCCTGTGCCAACAAAAGTATTTGAGGGAGATTCCTCCCTTCCTTCCAGTTTTCCGGGAGGCCTCTGCTGGTCCGCACAGTGTCTTTTTAGTGAGGTCACTGTCTTCCACCTCAGCTCTGATCATCAAATCGATCTCAGCCAAGGACTTGCAGGCGCTGCCGGTTTCTGAGCCAAGTTGGGGTGAACTTTGGCGGCCTTCGAGGTGGTACCTTTTATAACCCTCTGGTGGATCATTCACCTAGAAAAACCAGTCTGAAAGTCAATAAGAGCTTTAACAAACAATTCTCTTGTTTTACAGAGAGAGGATGCAAGCCATGGAGAAGCAGATTGCCAGTTTAACTGGCCTTGTTCAGTCTGCGCTTTTTAAAGGGCCCATTACAAGTAGTAGCAAAGATGCATCTAGGTAAAAAGAAACCAGCTATCCAATTAAAGAGTTAAATTCAATCTGTTTCTCTTTAATCATTAAAATCATTCATTCATTCAAATTCCTTTCCTCATAATCATTTCAAGGCTAAAATATTCGCGTCTCTATGAATCATGATTTTTTTATATTTGTTTTGTTTTTTGTTTTTGTGCTGATAATTCTTGGATGAAGGTTAACTTTGGCCCAAGAAGGGTAAATGGGCTTCCCAGTGCATGTGGCTTCATGGACCACTCCTTGCACAGTGCCCGCAACCACCATCCACGCGTGTCCACGTCTGCCACCATCTGAAAGTCATGAGTGTGCCTGGCTATATTTCACAGTGTCAGATGCACACCCGGGAAGCCTTTTCCATCCAAGCTAGTCATGGTGCTGATGCCAAAATACCCTCATTGCTTAATCTCATCACTGCTAATTGTTTAGAATCGTGACTGGAAGGTACCAAAAAATAAGGGCATTTTGGAAAGTACTTAGCTGACTCTCTTTTTCTTTCATTCAGCGAGAAAATGATGAAAATGACAGCCAACAGGAACCACACAGAAAGTGCAGGTAAGTAAATGTTCTGGGGAGGTCTAGGAGCCTGCTGGTTTCAGAGCTAGTTAACCTTTCCCCAAGTCACCCAGTTTTTGTGCTTTGGAAGGCTTTTGGGATAACTCCCTACACTACAGCTTCCAGCTAGTGCTGAAAAAGCACAGTTAGTCATTGATTCAGGGAATGAAAAGTTGTCATCTTATTCATTCATTCATTCATTCACTTAGTGCTACATTAATTCATTTATATGGCCACACACCCAAGACACACTTATGTGCCTGGCACTGGACAAAAATGGTGGGCATCAGACACAGGGCTGCCTGCCTAGAACTTGGACTCCTGTGGGAAAACTGAGAATAGGACAAGTAATTTTATGTGTGTTGAGTTTCAAGAAGGACAAGATAAATGTTTCACCCACAGGGCTAGCCCATACTGAGAGCATCCCCTTGAGAAAGTGACAAAGCAAAGTGCAAAGGATGGCCAGGATTTAGGGAGGTAGACGCAGGCAGGGGCCATCCAGGTGGAGGGAACTCAGATGTTATCCTAACTGGAAAGTGAAGCCACTGGAAGATTGGACACCGGGGAAACACATCAGCCCAGCGGCAGCGTGAGAATAGGTGAGAAGGGCGAGAGCCAGTAGGGAGCAGCCAGTGGACCAGGTGAGAGAAGAAGGTGCATCTGGACCAGGCTCTGCTTTTTAAATGCCAGCCTTCTCCAAGAAGAAGACCATTGCCTTCACCAGAGGAATCTCCTAGTGTCCAGATATATGCAATGACAGGCAGGGCTCTGTCAAGAAGATATAGCCTCCCCCCACACACCTCCTTCAAGTTAGAATGGAAATCATTAGCAGAAACTGTTCAGATACTAAATTACCCACAAACATATGTCAAGTTGGGTCAAACCCCTTATATGGGGAAACCACATCTACTAGTTTTGTGCAGTGTAGTAGAGTGGACAGAATTTGGGACTTAGGTTTAATCCCTTGCTGGCCCTGGTTCATGCTGGCTGAGCACAGTTGAGCTCTAAAGCCAGCAGAGCTGCTTTTCCAGCATTTTGCTTAGAAATCAATCAGTGGCCTTGGCCAAAGCCAGAGAATTATTTCATGGAAATTGCTAAAACTTGTTTTCAGAGCAATTGCCAGTTTCTCTTGGAGATAGTTATTCGTTCATTTAGTTTCTTATTTATTATGAACTGGGGTGGGGGGAGGAAACTACTAAAACCTTCCCTCCCTTTGGGATCCTTATTAGAAATGATTAGTGTCTGATACCATTGTTCTGATCAATATGCACATGCTGGTTTGTATTCTCCTTCTATTCCTTTCCCCTTTTGTGGAATAATAACAGGAAACATTTAGTAAGTACTTTCTATGTGTCATGCACTATTCTGGGGTTTTTTTCATGCATCAACCCATTAACTCCTGACTACAGCCTCCAAGATGAGGAGCAATTGTATTTCTGTGTTTCTGATAAGGAAACTGAAAACATTATCCACACACGTGACACCTTTCAACCTAGTTCACATACCTGTCATTTTATCCCATTGTTTTATGTTAAATATACCCTAGTCAGTCCCTTAAAAGATATACAAATTATTTTCTTTTTTGTTGTTGTTGTTTTGATTTGAAAAATTTTGTAAATGTCTCTTTTGAGCATGGGGGAAGGAGAAAGTCTTAATATCCTTGGATATTTTCCCCAAACTGGAATCAATACGTCCAAAGGGACAAGCAGTTTAGTAGCCCTGGCGACATGCTGCCGGCTTTCTCTTTCTGAAGGCTGAACCGATGTAGTGCCACTGGCAATGGAGGTGCGCTCTTGCTCCCCACGTCTCTGCTGAGTTTGGTCTTTCTCATTCTAATGTAGCAAGATCCTGTCCACAGGGGTGTAGTTGCCATAGCAGCTCTATACAGTGCACAAAATACACGAATGCTTCCAGAATCCTAGGAAGTATTATCCCTGTTCTGTAGACAAACAAAATTATATAGAAGTCAAAAGGGAGGAAAACCAGACTTCCTGGTTACCTTAGGAATATGTAGTTTACTGTAGATATGAGATCAGAAGGAACCTCCCATTTCCAAGCCATACGACGTGTTACACTGTGCATTTTATCACTTAACACACTTAAACCTATAAGGAAGTATTTCTGTCTGTATTTTATGTAAAAGGAGAGTGACGTTCAGAGTTCAAATTACTCATTCAAAGTCACACAACTAGGAAGAGTGACAGCCTGTCTTGCCAAACCCCAATCCATGTTCATTCTGTTACAGTAAATTCATGTCAAATGTGTGCTTTATAAGATTCAAATTACTCAGAAAAGAATACGGTTCTGAGGACAACCCTGTGTTAACTCTCACTAAACCAAGCCTGAGAGGGACAGAATATGAATACCCATGTATGGACATGGGTGGGAGGCAATTCCAGGTCTCGTGAGTCTAATCTAAGTGGGGACCTGCTGATGGTATCCAACCAGCAGATCATTTCCATCCTGAATCGAGACTTTGGTGCATTTACCTATTGATCTCAGCCAGGTATTTCTGCCACCTCTGGCCTCTACACCTTCTGAGACTCTAGGTGAAGAGGGGAGAGCTGACAGAGTCCCTCTCTGCCCTCCGCTCAGAGGACTCATAAAGCTGACAGTGCGAGGACTTCCCCTGTGCCAGAGTAGGCAGTTAAGTGTGTCACTCCGTTAGCCTGCACAATAACTCTTAAGCCCATTTTATAGATAAGGAATCAAAATCCATCAGATTCAGTTACTTGCTCAAGATCACACTCTAAAGTGGATACTGAGAATGATTCCAAGGTTCTGACTTAAATAATTGAGTGGATATAGTACTCCTGGCTACAGTTAGGTCTGTAGAAACAGAAAATGAGCGGAAATAATCAATTTACTCTGCTTGTGGGAAAGTCCAGTAGCAACTTGGTTTATGAAGCTATTGGTTTATGAAGCTGAAGATATTTGTATGCTGGTGACAAGGACATGAGATAAATGGGCAGATGATGGAGGTGGAAATATCTCTCTAGAAAGCACATCCAGTGAGAAGACAAGCAGGCCCAGGACAGTACCTGCCAGGATTTCAAGGGTTGGCAGAGAAAGGAATTAGGAAAGAGATTGACCAAGAAGGAGCAGTAGAGGAGGGCAAGGGAGAGGAAATGTTCAAAGTAACTGAAGAGAAATGACTGGCAAGCTCAATGTCACATTGCAATGAAGTCATGTCAGCCCTGGAGCACATCCATTGGACTGACAACTAGGAAAACACTGGTCACCTTACAAACAGCCATTTGCGTGAATGATGGAGTAGAAACCAAATGTGGTGAGCTAAGAGGCTGTAGAAGAAGACATAGGCATCTCAAAAAAATGAGTGTGGGACTTGGGATGGAGCTCAGAGGAACAGCTGCTGTATAGCATGTGTGAGGACCTGGGTTTAATCCTCAGCACCTCAAAAAAAAAAAAGGTGGGGGAGGGATACATTCCATAAAGATGTTTGACTGTGAATGGCACTTCTCAACATTTAACTCTCACAAATGGCATGTAGATGGCATCTAACAGTTAAAGATTATGTTAGATGTTAGATGGCATCTAACAGTTAAAGATTGGTGAGGTACAGTGGTGCCCTCAGAATGTTTAGAGAGAGAGAGAGAGGAATGTTGAAGGAAGGTGAGCCCTCACCTGGCTGAGGAATTAGCAGAATGGTTCCTCTTATCAAACAGGAGGTAACTAGTTAGCACAGTGTTATTTTTGTTGGAGAAATACCTCAATGGAACCATTCATTGAACACATAATATCATTTTGTGGGGGGTAGGGTTGTTGGCATGTGCATGCACGTGCGCTTAGGCCTCCACGTGGGGAATGATGATAAAAGTAATGTGGCTGATTCCCAAGAGGACGACTTCCACCTGACTGTGATCCCCAATTGACCTTGGGAAACACCAATTCTGACATGCTGCTGTCATTGGGAATGTTATTGGATGTTCTTTTACTTCGTACCTTCACAGTGGAAAATATGCTCTTGAACAATTGCAGAGATGGCAAATATTGCTCATTTTTAGGGCAATTTCTATTTTGGGTTGGAGAAAGGGGACATCCTGATAAGAATGGCTATGTGGGCTCATAAAAGCTTGCTGTCTGGTGTGCTGAGGTTCCTTTGTAAATCTTTTAAGATGCCTCTGATCTGCTCTCCTGATTTCCCCTTAGTGGCCCTTAGAGGGGCAAAGAAGAGACCTGCTCTCTTTGGACAGTCTCCCAAGTGTGATGAACTTGTGTGCTGTCCACTCTCCACTAGTGTTGTAGAGAACAAGCTAGTCAGAGGACAGTGGCCAGCACTCCCTGACTCATAGCAGGCCATATTTTTAGCCCATGGCAGCAGCTCCACTGAGGCTTTGCAGAGTGGTGTGTGCTGGGGAAGGAAGGGACCCATTGGTTGCTAAGCCAGAATGGAAAGCCAGGCCTCTGCTAGGTAACCAACCACTCTGGGGTGTATAAGAGGGTTCTGTCCAGCAAGGCCAGCCATTACAAGGCCCATTACAAAGCTTCCAGTAAGAACTGAACAGATGTTTGTGTGTGCATGTGTTCATGTGTGTGCATATGTGTTTGCATGTGTATAAGTTAGTGACTCATCCACTCTGGAAGCCTGTTCCATACAGTTGCCAGAAAAAGGAGGCAGTCCTTTCTTTTTGTTCCCATTCCTTAAACTTCACTATTTGTATTCTTTTTAAGTCCTTTTACAAACAAACTTGGCCAAATTGGGCCCTTCCCTGATGGACTTACAAAATACATGAGGATTATTTAAACTGAATTTGAAAAACAAAAGTTTATGGCAACTATAAAATAACTTAGGAAGAGTTCCTCAGCTCTGTCCTGTGCCCCCTCGGTTCTGGGGATGGAACCCAGGGCCTCACCCATGCTAGGCAAGTGTGCTACCACAGAGCCACACCTCAGAAGAGTTGCCTTCTGCTGACTTTTTTTATTCTATTCCTAAAGAATTTTGGAGTCTCGCCTCATTTTCTTACTAAAGGAGATGTGTGCAGAGGGTCCTACTTATTTTGGAGTTTGGGAAACCTGCAGAGATTCAGGAGAGAACCAAGCCCTTATTAGTTTATCTTGGTGATCACCCAACTCTTGTCCAGAAATGAGGTGTGCATCCTTAGGGTACACTGCCATGCAGGACACGGTCGCATGAATCTTAAAGTTATTTTTTCTGTATGTGCACTCAGTAGATTTAAGAATCTAAGAACTAACAATAAGAATATAAAATTCATATGGAATACCACCAGTGGGAGATACTGTTAATACTTTGTTTTATATAAATGTACATATACATACATAAATATACACAAATGCATGTATGTATGTATGTATGTATGCATGTATTTTTTAACTTTCCTCCATGCAAACCTGCGTGCTTATAGAAGATAGGAAGGGGTGGGAGGGAGAAAGAAAGAGAAAAGAAGGGAGAACAAATGGAAGGGAGGGAGGGAGAAAGGGAAAAAAAGATGGAAAGAGGGAGGGAGGAAAGAAGGGAGAGAGGGAGGGAGAGAGCAGGGGGGACATTTAACTTCCTTAACGTGGCATCGAGCTGTGCCCTCTGCTCTGTGGTCTGCCATCCTATAGCACTAAACTTCCAGAAAATGGTATTTACAGACTACATCCCATAACATTGTGAGGCTTATAACTGTGCTTCATAAGAAAGCAAATGCCATTCCTAAAGTTACTAGAACTCTGTATTGGGATGGGGCTTAGAGCCTGGACTTCCCTCTGTGGCATGCATTCTAAGGTCCTTTGCTGCTCTTTTCTCATAGGAACTCCCCACATTTCCGGAGGGAAGACTCTGGGCGCCCAAGAGGCCACCGTGCCGCCCAGCCAGCCCCTGCCTACAGGCGCCTCGGCCATCCACATGAGCCTGCTGGACATGAAGCGAAGTGTGGCTGAACTCAAGCTCCAGCTCCAGCAGATGAGACAGCTCCAGGTAACCCTCATGGATGCACCCTCTGTCTCGCTGGCCCTAGGTCTCCCTTCACCTCCTCCCCTAGCCCACCCCACTGCATCCTCTCTGGGCTCTTTCTGCCATCTTTTTCCTAGGGGCTAATTGGAGACCTGAAGCATTAGAACCCTAATGGCCTGGTTTTCCCTGCACAACTTAATCCTGGTCTAGAGCCTTCTGCTGCAACTACAGGCAATCTGTAATGATTTCTTTAAGTGGCGCATGCTCTTACACATGACAAAAAAAAAAAAATACTATTCACATCTGCTGTTGGAGAAGACTTGAATAGACAGGAGCCCTGTGGAGCATTCTAACAGCCAGTTAAGGCTGCCAGCTCAGTGTAGGCTCCTTCCTTCTCCCCAGGGAGCAGGCGCAAGGTGCTACAGTCAGCCAAGCTTTTTTTGTTTTGTTTTGTTTTGTTTTTTTTATTTATTTATATGCAAGGAACTGAGATGTATTTAGAACTCTGAATTTAGAATAGAAGATGAATTCATAAGGAAAAAAGCCATCCTGGATGATTTGTTGAGAAAAACATCTGCATTTTATTTGCATAGTATGTTCCAAGTTTTTTTTTTTTTTTTTTATCCTTTTCCATTGTTGAGGAATATATGTACTATAGGGGAATCAAAGGGGAGAGAAAATAACTCTCATGTCACAAATCTTGGTCAACAAATCCCATAAATCTTACACTGCATAAAACTTCTATCACTTGGTATAAGGACTAAAGAGCTGGCTTGCATATCTCTTTATGAGGTCACAGGATTGCTTCATGGATCAGCCTCATACCTCCCTGCCTTTTGTGGTAGGTGGAGCACCGAGGATATAGTTCTGGCTCAGACTTTATTCAAGATATTCCCTGACTTCCTTCAAGAAGCTCTTGGGCTGGTTATAGTGGCGCACACCTATAATCCCAGCGGCTCAGGAAGCTGAGACAGGAGGATTGTGAGTTCAAAGCCAGCCTCAGCAACAGCAAGGCACTAAGCATCTCAGTGAGACCCTGTCTCTAAGTAAAATACAAAACAGGGCTGTGGATGTGGCTCAATGGTCAATTGTCCCTAAATTCAATCCCTAGTTCACCCTCCCCAAGAAAAAACCCAAAGTTCTTGAGCCGAATGTTGCTAACAGGAGAACACACAGGAGCCTGAGCCACCACTGTAGGGTCCTCAGTAGCCAGAGGAAGGCAACCCCCTTAGTCCCCGAGGTGCAGTAAGGAAAGGTCTTTGAGTCACAGCTCTTCTGTCCCTTCCACACACTAATGACATAAACCCTACATTTTTCTCACCACCTTATTATGGCTAAGAAAATTATTTCCCCTTGCCCTCTGTATACCAGAGGACAAAAAGAGCAGCTGATTTGAGGGATCTGCCCAAGGCCCTAGCTTAGGTCACAGAAGTTAATAGAACAGACACACTGGTCAGTGCTCAGATCCCCACACCTTGGCTGTTTGGTGCAAATTTACTTACATCTCTTCTGAATCATGTCATCTGTGAAGTGGCCCATCCCTTGCATGGGCTTCTCCTTGCTTCACAATTTTTAAAGACTTTGCAATGAAATGAAGTATCCAAGTTGGGCTCTGGTTGTATGTTGGGGTGATGACACAGATGTTCTCAGTGTCCAGACAGTAATGTAAAAGGGGAAGTGAGGAGGGACAAGGGCAAAGTTGTCCCCTTAGAGACACTCTGTCTACACTCTGTCCCAGCCAACTCGTAGCCTGATGGTCGGTTATTTCAAGAGAATCTGGAAATACAGGTTTTACAGGAAATACATCTATCTTTAAATGTTGGAAAGTAATTAAACTCAAATTTTTAGTGCTCTGAGGGCCAAAGGACACGTCTGCAGGCCAGAGATGGTCAGGGTTTCTGCAGGTGAAGTTCCTCCTCATGCCGCCCTGCCTTTTGGCGCCACCTGCTGGCCATTTGGAAATTCTGCTCTCCTTGTTGTGCCCCCTGTAAGAGAAATGAGTGAATCTATCATTTATATACTAGTCCCTCACGGCTCTCAAAAGAGAAGTTGTTGGTTTGGGAACAAGAGTAGAATTAATTTAGCATCAATATCTTATTTGCCCTATATATTTCATGGGTGTTAAGGTGAATCTGATAGCACATCTATGGTGTTCCTATCTGTAGCATTGCACTTTGGTGAATGGTGTCATTTGGTACTCCAGCTGGCTAGCAGAGGTCTCCCACAAATTGCCAGTCTTTGCAGCCTTGAACTTGAAGGTTTTTCATCAAGGTCTAGGCCATTTTAACACCCAAGTTCCGCTATTGCTTCAGAACTGCTCAAGTCCTCTGGCTCTCCAAAAATAAAGAACAATGTACAAATGTGCTTTTGAGCTTAGAAATGTCTACAGTTCTCAAGTGCAGACACGTTGGGGAAGATAAATACCTTATTTCTAACCCAGCTGCTATTGTTTCTACCTGTGACTTGGTATTCTCTGCTTCCAGTTTGACTTCCCTCCCCCTCAGATTTCTATCTTTTCAGTCAGGGGAGTCTATTTAAGACAAAAACAACTCAGAATAATTAAGCTATGGCAGCACCCATTCTCCTTCAGCATATGTATCATTATACAGCAAAAATGAAGTGCAACCCCAAAGTGATTATAAGGCCAATAATGGAGCTATCATTAGAGATATGCGAAACTCTCTAGAAGAGTCTCAAAAGAACAAAAATTGAATTAGAAATTCAAATGTTCTTTGAACTGTGTTATAAAATACTGAAACTGAATGAAATCTTTTGTGCTTGGCAGCCAGCTACAGTAATTAGATAATTAAATCATTGGAAAATCCTAGACTGCAAGCATATCGTATTTGAGCATCTCACTTTCAGCACTGATAGATTCTTCTCAGGAATAGAAATGGGATGAAGACCCAGGAGGGTGTGTAGATTTTAGCAGGGCAGAAGGAAAGTTAAGGAAGGCAAAAGGAGCCTAAGCAGATCAAGAGGACTTCAGAAACTCAGTTCATATAATACTCTGCTCTGCAGTTTCACTTGAATTCTCTACAGATGGTTCTCAATCCTGGCTGTCCGTTAGAGCCACTTCACGCTCTTAACAAAATGATCAATACTGAGGCACCCCTGCCAGAGTCTGACTTTAATGGTGTGGACTAGAGGTGTGGACTAGCTGGTGATTCTAGAATGTTCCAGGGCAAGAGCTACTGCTCTCAGGTTATTATGGATGCTCGTTCTTATAAGTTACCTCATGGAACTGTTTAGATCAGTCAGCCATCACAGAAGGTAAAATAGGAACTAAGGAAGTCACCTATCACTCTGTAAGAACAGAATACACAGTAACCTAAAGCCTCATTCCCCAGGGGCTATTTTTGTGCCCTCTGCTTAGGTATGTTTGGTAGGATTGCTACATGCATCTTTTATGTTGCTATTTTCCTGTTCCCAAATAACAGTCTATAATCGGCTAGCAACAATGGAAAATATTTTTCTTCCTAACAACTGTTCTCTTTCAAAGATAATTGTCTATGTATATTACCTTTCCTGATATGATTGGGGGGAGGAAGCTTTTTTCTGAGGGATAAACAACATCTTTTTCCCAAACGGCTCAGTACTTGGATTTTGCCAAGGTAATTCCAGACCCACAGAAGCAACTGCACTTCTAACCCTCTCTGTGGGCTAAGGAGAAATAAGTCTTCTAGAAGTGTTGGTGCAAGTTCTGTGGAAACCAAATGAGACTTGACCTAAATCAAGACACTAGAAACATTCAACTTATTTAATTCCCACAACTTTTTTTCTTAGACCCTATCTCCTAATTGTGATACTCCTGACCAAAAAAAAAAAAAAAATTGAGTTGTTCTGAATTTAGTGTTACATTTTTAAGACTACTGTGAATTTGCTATCTCTTCCCAGAGAGGGAGGATCAACATAATAAAAGAAACAGCAGTACACAGAGCCCTTGTGTTTTAAATGATAAAATTCAATAGTTATCTGAATGTATCTTTTTATAAGACACAACTTCTTGTTTCAGGGTCTTGTTTATTTTCTGATGTCCAAAATAATGGTCAGGGGAATGTGTATTCCAGAGAAAAGCATACCAGAAGTGGCCTGTGTGGAAAAAACCTGTTTTCTCCTGCCAGGCAGAAATAATAAATAAAACTAGTACAGGGCTTGAAAATTAGGCTGCTTGGTGCAATATTCCCAGCCTCAATCAGATCTTCAGACAATAAGAAGCTGTCTGAGATGGGGAGACAGCACCCAGATAACATGCAGCTGTGACCAGGCATCCTCTGTCTTGTTCCCTAAAGCCTGAGAGAACTTGTCCAGTTGCTCATGAGTCATTCTGGGGTCTGGTGATCATCACGAAACTTCCCAACTTTTGGTGCAGTCGCTGTTCAGTATCACTGCTAGACAGAAAAACCATTCCCTTCACGCTATCCACGGTGGTCAAAGCTGATTTTTACCAAAGAAATCAAGAATAAGTACATGAAGTACAGGTCTATTTTTAGGTAGGTGGAATTTGATTTAAACAGTTTCCTACTTTGTTTATGAAATCGATATGGAAAACTCATTTGGCCCAATTAAAATTTTAATGTCCAAGAACATTATTTCTGCCTAAGTATGCTTATTAACGTGTCAAAGACATTTTCTGTAAATTATGTTTCCAGCTATGAAGGAATAACTGCAGATCCACTTGCCTTCCCGCTGTTGACAGCTAGAGAACTGAAAAGCAAATGAAACAACTAATTTCAGACACTAGACAACAGATAACAGGGATGTGATACTTTGGAGAATGGGAACAAAGCTGATAAGACCCACCAGTGACCCAGATTTCTGCCTAGAGATGCTTTTCAAAGGTAATACTTGGGATACCCCAAGCAGCCCAGGATCAGCTGCTGAGTTGAAATAAGATCAACATTTAGAGAGCTGAGGCAACTAGAGTTTGTAGAATGGAGTACCAAGGAGAAGAAAGCTGTGCACAGAAAGAACTATGTAAATCTGTGGATCTCTTGTTGGGTCATAAGCCAGTTCTGTGTGGT